ACGTACACTCCGAGGGCCAAACATCGACTCGGACCACTATCTTGTTGTAGCCAAGATACGCACCCGCCTCTGTGCAGCAAAAAATGTGCGCCCAACAATGCAAGGAAAGCTTAACGTCGAAAAGCTGCAATCACAACAGACGGCCAATCTATTCGCCACTCGACTCACACACCTGCTCTCTGAGAGCACTCTTCAACAATCCGACGTACGCGAGCAGTGGAACCACATTTCCCGATCATTAAGTACCGCCGCCGAAGAAGTAGTTGGATTTCAGCGAGCCCGAAAGAACAACTGATACGATGAGGAATGTCAAGAAGCCGCAGAGAAAAAAGATGCCGCCTACAGGGCCACGCTGCGATCGGGCGCAACGCGAGCCATGTGGGACCGTTATAGGGAACTGAAGAAGGAAGCGAGACGTATTTGCCGCAATAAGAAGAGAGAGGCCGAAATACGTGAGTGCGAAGAGCTTGAGATGCTGGCCGACAGGAAGAATGCCCGAAAATTCTACCAGAGGGTTAGGCGACTTACGGAAGGTTTCAAGACCGGGGCGAACTCCTGTAAGAACAACAATGGCGACCTAGTGACCGATGTCCAGAATATACTTAAATTGTGGAGGGAACACTTTTATAACCTACTGAATGGTAGCAGCGCTGAAAGTAGTGAGGAAGACGAACCCGAGTCCCCAGTCGATGATGATGGAGTAGCTGTCCCACCGCCTGACTATGACGAGGTACGAATAGCGATTACGCGGCTGAAAAACAACAAAGCTGCTGGAGCTGACGGCCTGCCAGCCGAGCTATTCAAGTACGGCGGCGAGGAGCTGATGAGGTGCATGCATCAGCTCGTATGCAGAATATGGTCAGATGAACGCATGCCCGACGACTGGAATTTAAGTGTGCTCTGGCCAATCCACAAGAAAGGCGACCCCGCCATACGCGCCAACTACCGCGGAATTAGCCTTCTAAGCATAGGTTACAAGGTCTTATCGAGCGTATTGTGCGAAAGACTGAAGCCCACCCTCAACGAGCTGATTGGACCTTATCAGTGTGGCTTTAGGCCTGGAAAATCCACCATAGATCAGGTATTCACAATACGCCAAATCTTGGAAAAGACCCGCGAGAATAGGATCGACACACACCATCTATTTGTCGATTTCAAAGCCGCTTTCGACAGCACGAAGAGAAGTTGCCTTTATGCCGCGATGTCTGAATTTGGTATCCCCGCGAAACTAATACGGCTGTGTAAAATGACGTTGAGCAATACCACCAGCTCCGTCAGAATAGGGAAGGACCTCTCCGAGCCGTTTGATACCAAACGAGGTTTCAGACAAGGGGACCCCCTTTCGTGTGATTTCTTTAATCTTATGTTGGAGAAGATAATAAGAGCCGCAGAACTGAACCGCTCAGGCACAATACTTTATAAGAGCGTACAATTGCTGGCGTATGCCGACGACATCGATATTATCGGTAAAAACAAGGGCTACGTCTGTTCTGCCTTCTCGGGATTGGATAGAGAAGCAAAGCGAATGGGTCTGGTGGTGAACGAGGACAAAACGAAGTATCTCCTGTCAGCACACAAACAGTCAGAGCATACGCGTCTTGGCACCCACGTCACTGTTGACAGTTACAAGTTTGAAAAAGTAGACGACTTCGTTTATTTGGGAACCAGCATTAACACCAATAATAATGTCAGCCTTGAAACGGAGAATCACTCTTGCCAACAAGTGCTACTTTGGGCTGAGTAGGCAATTGAGAAGTAAAGTCCTCTCTCGTCGTACAAAGATCACACTCTATAAGTCACTCATCGTGCCTGTGCTGGTGTATGGTGCGGAAGCATGGACAATGAAAGCATCTGATGAGGCGGCTCTTGGAGTTTTCGAGAGAAAGATTCTGCGAAAGATTTACGGACCTTTACGCGTTGGTGATGGCGAATATCGCAGACGATTTAACGATGAGCTGTATGAGCTTTACAACGATGTAGACATAGTGCAGCGAATTAAAATTCAGCGGCTCCGCTGGCTTGGCCATGTCGTTCGGATGGACAGAAACGCTCCTGCTCTGAAAATATTCAACGCGGGCCGCGATGCTGGGAACAGAGGAAGAGGAAGACCTCCTCTGCGTTGGAAAGACCAGGTGGAGAAGGACTTGGCTTCACTTGGCATTTTCAATTGGCGTCAGTTAGCACAGAAGAGAAATGACTGGCGTGCTGTTTTGGACTCGGCCAAAATCGCTTAGGCGGTTACAGCGCCAAATAAGAAGAAGAAGAATGGGCGTTACATTTATACTTTCAAGCTTATATGAAAGTTGCTACATAACTGATTTATTTATCCATCGATTGTCTTTTTTTGGTAGCTTGACTTCATCACAAAAAAAAAATTTAAAACTTTTATTTTTTTTTTATAATTTTTTCCCCATTAGCGAGCCGCACGCTGTAGAAGTTAAATGTGAAACGCCTGTCCAAAACTGTTCAAAATTATTTTAAAAAACATCCACGTTTTTTTTACTAGCGAAACCCCTTATTTTTAATTTCAGTACAACTTCTAAAGTTGAACCATTTTTTTTTAGCTAAATAAAGATAAATGGCAAATATCTCGAAAACTTGTCCACAGGAAAAAAATTTACTCGACTTTCGGAATCAGCGAGCTAAGTATTCTACATAGTGGCAGAACGAAAATTAAAACTTGTGATCCGGTGAAATCAGTCATTCATAGATTTTCACCCCTTTGGACCAATTGCCTGTGTTTTTATTTGATTAAATTTAAATTTATTTCATAATCATTTTTTTAATCAATTTTAAATAAACTTTAAATCAAGAAAATAAATAAACTACTATTTTGTATGAAAATAAATCTCTTTCAGGCAAGTACCTATAGCTTCATTGATCCACAGGTTAATATTGAAACCTCGTCTTATATTTCACTGCATGTCGTTCAGACAATTTTTGGTGGAAAAACTCAAATAATAATCTTCTAAATTTGAAAGACCGCAGCCTACACAATAACCCTAGCTCCTCATGGCACGTGCGTATGTACAGTGACGAGCAAAACTGTAACATGGTGTAGCACTCTTTATTTCAGTCACCGCTATCTTTCCGACTGCTAACGACTTTCATACTTTTGTTGTATATTCTTATTGGTACACCCCTACTCCCTCTCTCATAAAGATTTGAAGTCAATCCAACAACAAGAATAAAACCAGCAGGCAAAAATGTAAGTTAAGGCCAATGTTACAGTTAATTAAAAATTAATTCGATTATTGTTATTTGGGATAAAAAAAAGCGACACGTATTTTTTTGTTTAAAAAAAAAAACTTTTTTAGAGGTCGCGCTGGTCGTTTTTTTCATTAAAAACTTTTTTTAACTTTATTGAAATAAAAAAGTTTAAAATGATCTTCAATGATTTTTTTTTGCTTATTTCTTCCCCAATACACAATATACATATACTACCTACTTATGTGTGTTTAATAACTAAATCTTATTAGATTTATAATAAGTGGCCTGAAAAATCCCAGTGTGCAGTGTGCTTGAAACGTTCAGTATCAACGTTTTAATTTTAGGATTTTTTTTTTAACTCTAAAGCCATATTGGATCCGCCATTTTGAATTCAAAAAAATTGATTTCAGATTCGTAATCACCGACCCCAAAAATTCCTAAATCCTGAGTTTCAAACAAATCGGATCATTTATTAAAAAATTGATCGCCATTTTGGATCCGCCATTTTGAATTTTGAAAATCTGACTTCAGACTCCTAACTAGCAACCCCAGAAACCCCCCGGAAACAAGTTCCAACCCATGACAATGCTAAAATCGTTCAGTATCAACCTTTTAGTTTTAGTTATGCTCTTTTCGAAAGCATATTTTCGGGCACCAAACTCATTCTAACTATCCAATACAAACATGTAATTAAGGGAATGTTCCCCAATTATACCAAAGTAATTACTTGTAAAATAACATTTTTAGCTGCATTTTAACATGTCACGAAAATAAAAAAATTGAGAACATCAGCGTTTTTATAAAAAACCGACCGACTTTTTTTTCAAAATAAAAAAAAAACGTTTCTCTTCTCTTCAAATTCATTTAAAAAGAAATTAACTGTGTGGACGTAACTTTGCCGCAGATATTGTATGATATTCAAAAATATTTTAGGGTTTTTAATCATTTTGTCTGACAATTACCAAATGAGATTGGAAGTTATCAAATTATCAAAGAGAATAAATGTTACCAATATTGGTAATATTTTACCAAAGTGGCAACCGTGGCTGAATTTGTAATATTTTTACGAATATTAAAAAAAGCACCAGCATCTCCTAACAGTAAAATGAATAACGTAGCTTCGACCGGCGAGCAAGAAGCATTATCTTTTTTTTTTAATTTCAATCGGCATACCTACAATAAAATTTTGTATGCATACAAAGTCCATTAAATCGTCCAATAAAAAATTTGGTGCTTTTTTCGAGAGAAAACGCAATTTTTCTTGGGTTTTAGTGCTTTTTCTAATTCAACACTTGGCAACACTGGCGATAATCGACTAATAATCGTTTATCTACTACTAGTCGACACCCGCAATAGGGCTCTCTCCAAAAAATGCGGCTGTTGATTTTCCCTGCAAAAATGTAATAATTTCACTGATTCTTCGAAAAGTGTTATAGGCCGGATATTCTAATAATGATAATGGCTGCGTTTCTTTATACATTCCGGATAATCCCATTTCACAGCCGGAATAAACAGAATGCGTTTGAAATATACTTCAACATATCAACAGGAACGTTCTAAAGAATAAATAAACAAAAAAGCTTATTCCAAACGTTCAGAATGAATAAAGAAATTCAGCCAATATTTTGGCACTTTGTGTTTGGCCCTACTGTTTTGCTTTGTAAAAGGATTGTTTTCGTATTTTTAAAACCACGCAAGAAGTACCAGCAGCATGCAACTGTGCAGTGCGCCGATGGCTGCGTCACCTAGCGTATTTGTAGTGTAACTCAGAAAACGCTATGCTGGCAACACACAGCCATTTTATTTTATTGGCTTGGCGTTTTGCATAAATAAAAGGTTTAATTAGTTCAACGATTTGTTTTCGCCCATTTATTGGAAATAAACTGAAAATAGTGCTGACATAGTAAGTTAAAAAGTGAAAAAATTGATACGTTTTAATTGGTATTTATTTTTCGCTCGCAAAACGTGGAAAAATTTTCCGATTCTTTGCAGTCAAATGCCAATGGTTTGTCATCGTCATCGCAAAAATAAGAAAAGCGATCACCATTGAAAAAAAGTGCCTACCTACGCATTGAACAAATTAAAGTGTTTTGCTTTGAAAAGGGCAACGTAATTAAAAACAAGTGCGTACACTTGTAAATTATTTATTTATTTAAGAAGTCTCGCTCATCGAATTGTATAGCATACGACCAAAATGTTGCGTTTAATCTAAAGAATGGTCTATACGACGCATATTGGGAATAAATACTTGCAAGTTTACTCACTGAAAACTACAATTTCAAGTTTTTAGTTCAATTGCGTTTTTGTTTTCTTTATATAAAGTAAAAAATAAAACAAAGCTCAGTGGAGAAAGCGTGTGAAGGAATAATAAGTTGACAGCGTTACATTTTTGAATTCAAAACAGAAGAAATACCCAATACTATAAAACCCGGTTCCGCATCTCACCACACACCCAAAAACTGCATCTGTGAATTTCCAAGAACTTAAAAAAACGTATTTTGGAAAACTAAGCTTTATATAAATGTATCAAACATTTTGGTTGCATTTCTTTATTCATTCTAAACCTTTTGAATAAACTTTTTTGTTTACTTATTCTTTAGAAGGGTATCAATCGACGCGTCTTAACGCCAATAATAATAGTCTGTCAGGGCAAATTTAACATTTTTATTTAATTAAAGAGTTATTTGCACAAAAAATTGTACTTTTCGAACTATGTTTTGATGAATTTCGCACAAAAAAATGGAGTAAGTGAAGGCAACTTAACATATACTTTCATACTTAACTTAAAATTCATTTTATGGCAAAAACAGAATTTTAACTTCAAAATTAGGAGAATGCGGTTTTAAAATGGTAAAATAAGGTTTTAAGTTTTGTTGTTGAAGTAGTAAACGCAATAGCACCCAGGTTCGGTCCCCACTCTGAGCGATTCCAAACATTTTTTTTTTTCATTCTATTTTGACAAACTTTTTTTATAAAATTTTGGTTTATCTTTTTTTGTTTATGGTATTTTAAATAATTATTTCGTTATTAATAAAATTTTTTTGGAGTTCAATTTTAAAAATATGTAAAAAAAAATTTCCTGGTAGTGGGATCCGAACCCACGACTTCCCGGCTTCCTAAATCTGTATTCATATTTCTATATATTTCCGGGTAAGTTTTTTTCTCTTCATACGGATAATAGCACTGTTCTCTCTCATCTTAACAAAAAGCTGTTTCTTAGATGTCTATGATAACACAACTTAAAAATCCATTCTAAATTTAAAACGGTAGTTGAACAAGAATTCGTTTCAACTTGCGACATGACTATGGGCCAATGTGTTAAATTATGGTGAAGTTATAAGTTATATTTTTACCGTGGTGTAAAACTGAATAAAAAATCTTACCACGTCGATAATTTTTGGTATTCGCAATACTTGATTCTACTCGAGAAAAATATCGTTCTTCCGTAGTCGGTACTCGTATAACATCACTAACTGTCAGTCATTCTGGTCATTGTCTATTTTATTCAATAGTTAATTATATTTTGTGTAAAATTATTGCTGTAGCGCAGATTATCATAAATTAAATTGTGAGAAATCAGCTGAATTGAAGAAAAGGTAAAAAATGTTCGTAGAAACATGAAAATAAAACAAAGAAAAGCAATAAGTTTTTATGAGCATATAAAAGTGGTCAAAATTGAATTAGAGGCGTGATGGCTGTGGTAGTAGCTGTGAAAAATGAAGTACGCGTTTAAAAATAATAAAACGGGATAGGAAAAACTGGTTAAAGGGGAGGAAGGCGAAAGTGCTGATTATTCAACGTCGTGGAAAAAGCCACCAAGCGGTGTTAAGTGTTACTCCAACAATCAATCGTTTCAATTGGAAGTTTAACGAAAATATACGCTTGACTGCTGTAAATTTACATTGTGTAAATAATTTAATTAAGAAGACCTCGTCAGTAAACACATTTTCTCCATTTTTTATCCTTGTACTACACTCGCTGTGCTGTGTAAATTTCCAGAACATTATTAATTTTTTTTTTTTTTTAATTTACGTGTTCTACACTCATTACCATACTCTGTACATGGTCCACGTAAATCCATAGATTACGAATAACTCTTATCTTGAAAAGAAACTGTGCATATATGTACATATGTATATGTAAGTATGTACATAGTATAAGGGTTCGCTTCCACGGTCATTCATTATTTAGTTGTTTATTCATTTCTAAACTTTCTAAGTTGACCGAATGGACAGCATACAGGCATATACATATATAAATTTATGTTGATTTTATTGCAGCATATCACAAAAATTATAATTTTCCGACATTTTCGTTTCTTTACCTACTACTTGCTTTTTTTATACATTTTATGAAAAGCTTAATGTACAATATTACTAATTATTACAATGCTTACAGCTATTGTTTGGTGATCATTGAGAAGTAGCCGTCAATTGACTCATCGATCGTATTATTCATTCTCTCATATACATATATTTGTATTTCCAATGGATGTGTGTATGTATGTATATCTGAGTGCAGGTCTATAAATGCAATTTAAGGCAGTTATTTTTCTTTTCTCTGTTGGCAGTGTCCATTGATATTTGCCCTTCGCCAGAAAGCATTCTTTACAATTTTGTATGATATTGTATATGCATAAGTGCATATAAATACATACATATTTATGTAAATGGAGACATGCACATACATACATACATATTAATTTGTTGTTCTACTTCATATTCTACTTATTTTGTATTATAGAAATTTATTGAAAGAGATAATTTTATTTTATAGAAGCTAGGGAACAATAATGTTGACTCAAACCGAAATGATGCCAGCACGTACAAATGTACATAATTAGGTTATTTACTAGTTTTTTTTTTTATAATTTCAGGCTTATCAACGAAACGATACTCACATAGTCCACTGCAGATTAAAGCTTGACAGTAATCACAACGAAGTAAGCAGCTATGGCATCGCGCAAAAAGTCTTTGCTGAAAGTAATCATTCTGGGCGATAGTAGCGTCGGCAAGACATCACTCATGAACCAATATATAAATAAACGTTTCTCAAATCAATACAAGGCAACGATCGGCGCTGATTTCTGTACAAAAGAAATAATTGCTGATGACCGAGTAGTCACAATGCAAGTGAGTGCATTCAAATTATAATCATTACAATTTGTTTTAGCAATTAGATTTATACAAAAAAGGCTCATTTATTTCAAAGATTTGGGATACTGCTGGACAAGAACGTTTTCAATCCCTGGGCGTGGCATTTTATCGTGGCGCTGATTGTTGCGTACTCGTCTATGATGTCACATCGCCAAACTCGTTTAAAAATTTAGACTCGTGGCGCGATGAATTCTTGATACAGGCCAGTCCCAGAGATCCTGACCACTTTCCCTTCGTTGTGCTGGGCAATAAGGTTGATATGGATAATCGACAGGTAATTTTAAAAAGGCAAAAAGCATAAAAAAGTATTACCAATGTATATTACTCGTTCGGTTTAAATCCGTATGGTTAGGTATCGACGCGACGTGCTCAACAGTGGTGTCAGTCCAAAAACGATTTGCCATACTTTGAAACATCCGCAAAGGACGGCACTAACGTTGAATTGGCATTCCAAACAATTGCCAAGAATGCGCTTGCTCAGGAAGCCGAGGTGAGTACAATTGGAATCATTGAAGTGTACTTAAATGTAATTGCTCTATCATTAAAACCCACAGGTTGAGCTATACAATGAATTTCCTGATCAAATCCGCCTTAATACCGATCGTAACAGTCGCAATGGTAATGCTGATAACTGCCAGTGCTAATGTAATTACAGCAAAAATTATATTAGGCCCACCGGCAAGGATATGAAATGGTGAAATGACCGCAAGTGAAAAAATAAATAAATTCAAAACGCGATAGCGGCTATAGATAAAATTGCGAACAGCAAATGGCGCAAATAGAGATGCAATTGGATTAGTAGTGAAAAAAAAACACAGAACGAAAATACCTAAAAAACATATATTTGCATAGTTTCGCAACTAAACGTAATTTAAATATACTTATAAATATAAATATTAAAATAATACTACACACAATTATACATATATGATGAACGATAATATGATACATAATGCAAAATGTTATACATTAAGTAAAACAATTTACCAAGCGCATTACATTTAACAATAAATTTAAAAAAGTAAATGCAGTTTTTTTAAGCCGATCAAAACAACACTAATGAACAGGAGAAATAATTTTTCTCCGCGTTAAACTCTCGCCAAACTGGAATCTGTAGTAAATGTAATAAATAACACATTTTTCTGGCCTTGAAATCCCTTTTTAAATTAAAGCTTTTTTTTTATGTGACCATTGTAAATTGAGCCTATTACTGATTTTTTAACGAAAAATTATGAATGGGATGTAGTATTTAGTATAAATTATCTCCAATAAGCTATTGAATGCTGCAAATGCCAACAAAATGCTTATGCACTTAGGCCTGCAGGTGTTTATGCTGAAATGCTGCTGCGGCGTAGTCGTAAATTAGTTAAGCAGATGCTGGTTATGCGGAGTAAATTTAAAACACGGATGTTTATTTCTTCAGTTTATATAAATTTATAAGTTGCCGAGTATTATGTTAATTTGGTTAATACAATGTTGCAATTTTAATACGTCATTGAACACGTGTGTATTTTTCTATCTATGTATTTATGTACATTTCAGTTTTTATTAAACACATGTAAGCTAAATTTAAAATATCTTTGAAATAAAGAACATTGATTAATAAAAAAAAGTATTTTGCTGGTAAACATTCATATGCATATGTACATACATATGTATGTATATATGTATATATATGCGTCTGCTGATGTTGGAATAGCTTAAAAGTACTACTTTACATTTAGTGTAGACTAGAGATGGGCACAGGCCGGGCTTTTGGCAGGGGCCCGACGGGCCCCTGCGTAAGCCCGCGGGTACGGGCCGGAATATTTGCTGTCAGCACGAACTCGTGCGGGCCTGGGCGTTCAGTAAAATTTCATAAAAGCACGAAAAAGCCCGTTGCATATACTAAAAATTTAGATGAGCTTTTGTTTATATACAAAAAAAATAGTACATATTTAAAACTCTTTGATAAGAGAAAAGCAAAAAAAAAAGTATTTGGAAACCGATAGAAAATAATATATGATACTTAGTAGTTTTGTTTACATACATATCTGTACATAAAATACCTTCCACTTTTTCTACTTCCCAGAAAATATATTATAAAAATCTTTGATGTAAAATATTGATTCGTTTAAGTAAATATACATATGGACATAAACACAAAATTAAAAATATGTACATATGTATACATGCAATAAAAGTTGGCTCTTCATTTCCGGGCTGGGGCGTGTCTCGTCGTGCCGGGCGGGGCCCCACTAAAATTCTTAACGTGCGGGCTTGTGCGTGTTTTTGAAAGTTGATTTTGCACTCGTGCCGGGCCGGGCCTGAAAATTTAGGCCCGTGCCCATCTCTAGTGTAGACCAAAGTGGCGTTTACACAACACATGTGCTTAATAATGCTTAGGAATTACTGATTTAAAATTTGTTGCTGCTGTAACAGCATAGAAATTTCCAAAAGAGTTGTATAAATCTGAGTCGGACCGGTTACGAAGTCTCGGCTGTCGTTGGAACGTGACATTTAAAATTTTTCGATGTAAATTTTCATTTTGTTCAGTTGAAATCTGTTCTAAATTTTAGATACTGATTGCTATAGCTTGCAAGTAAAATAACTGAATAAGCCCTGATTAACATGAGCAATTGGAATAAAAGTTGGTATAAGGCCGCTAAACTTAGTAAGGCGACTGAGGACATTTGCCGGGGGACAGAAGGACTAAATGCTGGGTATTTATCTAAATTCAGGTTCAATTTTGTGTTACCGCGTTTGTATACATATGTAATACCAGCACCTACACACATATTTATATTCTCTTAATTTGAGAGACCTGTCGATTAATATCGATAGACCATTTCCCATGGAACTTAAACTAATTGGAAAACCAAGTGAGACATTGACCATTTTAACCGCTCAAACCCACAGCATTGACAAAACTCATCATATGACTATTGTCACAATTACTGCGCCTGAAACACAATATAGCGGGCGTTGAGTAATGCATCAAGCCAAAGCATCCGTCTTTTTTAGTTCTAATTTATAATTGATGGAAATGTCTTATTTACACAACTAAGTTCGAATCCGGCTTTTAACCGTGGTTGCGCATATTTTACATTCCCATCAATTATAGTTTAGAAATAAAAGAGACTGATTGAGAGACAATTGTCACCATTAGAGAGCTTAACATAAATTTGCAGCATAGTATTAGGCGCAGTAGTAAATACAATAGTCAGCCGTTGAGTTTTGTCTTTGGCATGGGAATAGGGCTGTAAGTACGTTTTAAAACCGAAATGTCCATGCATCCTAGTTTAACTCATCATTTTATTAAGTAATTTCAATGGTACCATTCGTCTACATTTTCAAATGCACACGAAATTAAATAGTTCTATATAAATAACTAAGCTTAAAAAACATACGAATGAACATTTCACAATATACATAATGCACATGTTTAGTAAAATCCTTTAATTTAAAATAACTATGTATGTCACATTGTGATAGCGGACATTGCATTAGCTTGCAAAATTATGCAATTCCTATATATTTGCCCACACACTTCAAAATAACTTATAACATTAAGCATTGATACGGTTAATTAAAATATTAAAACTGAACTATTTAAAATCCATTTCGGCAGCGGGTGAATATAGCGTCGATGATCATTTGAAACCATTCTGTGGAATACTCGGAGTAATCAGCAGTGTGAAATAACTTTATTTTGGCTTCCGTCGTTAGAGTTGAGCACAAATAGTAATTGATAACAGTTTCGGTTAGTTCTGCGTGGTAATTCCGAAGTGACCATTCAAGTACAGTTAAACAATTTGAGTCATCCAGCATCCCGATAAGCATTTGTTGTAAGAATGTCTCCATTTCGCTAATTATGTAGACTCGCGCCATTTCGAAAGCTTCAAGTATAGCTTGATAATTACGTACATTTGGAATATTGTACTTTAGTTTTTGCGACCGTCGCACAATCAAGTTGAGAAAGTAACGTAAGCCACTTACTGAGCAAGTACGTAAATGTATTTCGCCTTCATTACGTTCTTTGAAATCACTATTTAACATAGTGTTGAATACCTCACTTGTATTGCACAGCAGATCCTTACTAAATTCGACTACTTGCTCCACATTGTCAGTGGCCGCAATGAGCGGATCATCGCTAGCACCTGTCGTGGCGTCTTTTGTATGCACTACAAAACGCATATCACAAGTTTCGTGTAGTGGTTTTGATTCATTATCAACGAATTCTTCATATCGCTCGCCGTTGCGCATTTCACTGACGCGAGGTACTGAAATGCCAAGTGTATACTTAGACATTGCTGTTAAAGCATCGACTGCTTCTGCTGTGAATTCGTCACTTTTTTCGCTCAAAATTATTTGTAACAGCAAGCTGAGCGCATTTCCATCATTAAGGAACTGATATAATAAACGTTGACTTTTAATGATGTAGGCTACAGTGATTGCGGCACGTTTTTGAGCGTATTCATCACCACTGCGAAGAAATCGTGCCAGTTCCGCCTTACCATAGTTGGATTCGCCGACGCAGGTGAGGGTAACTAAAAAACTAAAACCATCCTTGTTTATCTAGGAAATTTAGCATTATTAAACGTCTTTGCATTTTAAAAGTGAAATTTAAAATAAACCTCTTCGCTTTTCGTCAATTGATAGAGCTGATGCGCTATGCCACTGCGAATCACCTGAGCGAAAAACTGACTCTCCCTTTGGAAAACATAATTAATTACAAATATACCGCAGTAACTTTATTTTCATATACTTACTGTAAGATGTTTGTTAATGAGCTTGCGAAGTTGTTGTTTGTGCCAAATGTATTTATGGCCTTGATAAGCGCAGTCATAGTTTCAGATTTTCCCAGCTCGCCTCGTTTGTTGATGAGCAGGGTAACGCGGAAAAGTAGATTTTCCAAGTGATCCAGAGTACTGCGAGGCATATTACCCAGCTGTGGTAGTTTTTGGTATGGCACATCTTGACTCTGTTCATCGTCTTCTTCTTTATCAAGTAAATTGTCTTCGATTGTCTCATTGGATTGGCAGGCAATGTCTAGTAGTCTCATTATCTCCGAATTATCGGCAGTGCTATTGTTTGCACTTTGACGAAGAAGGAAGCTAGATTCATCAGCGGTATCAACATTGGCTGGATTTGCTTCGTTATTTGTCTCAGTGGGGCCATCCTCATCATCCTCCTCATCACTGCAAACGGGTGAATACGTTTCATCATCAGAAGCATCCTCTGCAAAATATCAAAATGTGTGAGTATAATTTCTAATCTTAACGTACATGCCGGTAACTACCTTCTAGTTTAAACAAATTGTTGCCAACTGGCGACATGCTCCGGGAGCTGCAAGGACTTGAGGGTGTGTTATATGAACGGGGTGAACTGCTTGGAGACTCGCAATCAATAAGGAATGCCTTATCTTGCACTTTAATCATCTATCAGGGAAATATGTTGCAAGTGTTTAGTTTTTTAAAGTCTTGTTTTGTAAGTATTTACCTTGCTTTTGGATTCCACACAAACTTCTGTCGGTAGCTTCCGTTTCTTGGAATTTTGCTGTTTTTCTTCGCGTTTCCTCTTATAATATTCCTCATCGCTTGTCAAGAAGGTGTTGAGTTCGCCTATAATTACTGGTACCAGACCTTCTCTAAGCATCAAATCCATGCTCATGTTATCATATTGAAAATTGTTTAATAAATATAAGATCTGGTGGAAAACGAGTACATAGGTACAGTTAGATTATATTTCAAGTGCAAGTGGATGGAAATACTCTGTAGAGATACATTCACATTACAGACTTATGCATTACCTGAGACTTTTCCGTATTTGACTGTGAATCACGAACCATTGCAATGAGCTTTCTTAACGCGCCCGAGCGTCTTATTTTGGCACGATTGCAGGCATCTGGAGATAGCATACAAATAATGTGAATA